AGGGTGTTTAAATCATATCTGGATGACTTTATTGTTGTGTTTATTGATGACATTTTGATTTATTCTAAAGACAGGGAAGAACGTGAGAACCATTTGAGAACTACCTTGCAGATTTTGAGAGAGAAGAGGCTGTATGCTAAATTGTCAAAATGTGAATTCTGGCTTGACAGTGTAGCATTTTTGGGGCATGTAATCAATAAATACGGTGTCTCTGTTGACCCTCAAAAAATTAAAGCTATCGTGGACTGGCCAAAAACGACAAATGTGACAGAGGTTAGAAGTTTTTTGGGACTTGTAGGTTATTACAGGAGATTTGTGAAAGGCTTTTCAAAACTTGCCATGTCATTGACCTAGTTAACTTAGAAAAATGTGTCATTTGACTGGAATGAGCAACGAGAGTCAGCCTTTCAAGAGTTGAAGACCAGATTAGTGACTACACCGATCTTGACTTTACCTAATGATACTGATGGATTTCAGATTTACAGTGATATTTCCTACAAAGGTTTGGGCTGCGTGCTAATACAGAATGGAAAAGTAATTGCTTATGCCTCTCGGCAACTTCGTCCACACGAGAAGAATTACACAGCACATGATCTTGAACTGACAGCTGTAGTGTTTGCCCTGAAAATTTGGCAACATTATCTGTATGGAGCAACTTGTGAAGTGTACACGGACCACAAAAGCCTCAAATATTTCTTCACTCAGAAAAAACTGAATATGAGACAAAGGAGATGGCTGGAATTGATCAAGGATTATGATCTGCAAATTCTATATATGGAGATCGGCGGAAAGAGAGAGAGAGAGAAAAAAAAAAAAGAGATGAAAAGCAATGTTAAGTGTGTGAGGTGCATAGTGCTGTGTGAGTGAAAAGGTGGTTTATATATATATGGGTAAAATGGTAATTTTTCTTCAAGAAAATTCGGGGTCAGGGACGGACCGAGGCTAGAACACTGATCACCGTCCCCGGCCCGAAACTGATCAGGGATTTAATTTCGAATACCATCCCCGTCCCCACGGGGGTATTTTTTGAGAAAAAATCGCTCAAATCGAGATCGGGGTCGGGGATCCCCGTCGGGTCGGTTTCAAATTGCGGTCCCTACTAGCATATAAGGGTGGAAATTTGCAATAGGACATGATAATATAACTCGAATTGTATACGAAATTAGAGGGTTAGGATTGATCATTTCCTAACATTTATACGTATATAGCACGACCTGATAACAAGAATATTAAACAGATCAGGTTAGTATCAAAATTGTATAACATGAAATTGATACGGATAATCGGTATAATAAAGAATTAGTTACACCGTTAATATTATTTTTACTAAAGAGTATCATGACATTTTTTAATCTCTTATGTAATTTACATCCAATTTATTAAAAATTATATAAAATACAATTTTAAGTTTAATATAAGTTTTGTTTTTGCTTTTAATTGAACTTTTAATATATTTTTGTCTATTAATCTAGTAAAAAAAATAAAATTATAAAATAATTTTTTTTTAAATTAAGAAAATCAAATTAAGTTGAAATCAAATATTTTTATAAATAATTTCATTTGATAGAGATTAGTTTTATTAAAATTTAACTTGTGAGGAAATTTTCAAATTTTTTTTGAACATTTTATATTTTTAGTTTATGGTGAAATTTGTTGACATAACACATTAACACAACACGAATCTGAGATGGTCTGAAAATGACAGGAAACAATAATACGAAATAATAAATAAGTTAGATTAGTATTAAGATAATTCTAATACGAATTCGAAATACCATGACGACACCCCTACTAGCATATAATGCAGTAAAAGAATCGTAAATTGATTTATTCATTATTTAATCAAATTTTGCAAAAAAGCAAAGCATTTGATAGATGCAGCCACATTACATTAAAAAAATAGAACAATGCACAACACAAAGAACTAGGCATTGTTCTCATTCAAGAAACAAGCCACTCGTTTGAGCATAGCCACAGCATTTTCACAAATCGGTTTGATCAAGTGGAACACATGGTCCTTCCCTGCAACCTCCATAATCTCCACCACTCCTCCCCACCCACTCTTCCCCAATTCCTCCTTGTAATACCAACCCCTATCTTTAAAAAAATCTTTCTCAGCTACACATACCAACACCTTGTCACAAACCAGGCTTGAAAACTTTGGATCCACAACCGGATTAATTAAAGGGTCATCAGACCCGCTAGACGACGGGGACACAAAGAGCCATAATTTATCAACAACCTCTTTCCCAATAATTAGCTCACTATTAATTATCTCACTATTACTACCTTCAGAACCAATTGGACTTTTCCCTCCAAGAAATGGATGGATTAAAACCATCCCAACAAACTTCACACCATCCAGCCCATGCGATCCGACCCGAATTCCCATGTTGTGTGCTATGTTACCCCCTGCGCTATCTCCTGCAAAGAATACCCGATCAAAATCAACATACTCCTTTAGCCATATCTCACCACCACCAGCCGAGGAGTGAGAAGCAACCCACTTGACAGCGGCCCAAGAATCATCGTAAGCGATTGGGAGAGGGTGCTCAGGGGCTCTTCTGTAATCGACAGAGACGACAACGACACTGGCTTCGGCCACAAGTGAATTGAGATAGTTATGGTATGTGGGAGTGAAGGCGGTTTCGGTGCAGAAGCCTCCGCCATGGAAGTAGACTAGAATAGGAAGCTTGTTGTGAAGTGGGTTGTTGGGGATGTAGAGCCTGGCAGATAAACCAGTCTCTGGATCGATTACGACATCTTTGGATTGGACGCCGGTGTCGGGATTGGTTGAGGGAGGGACAGTATCCGTGCCTTTGAATCGTACTACTCTGCCATCTTTGTAAACTCGAACGTGGGATGGAAAATCGTGGAGTATTTCTTCAGCTGGAGTTGAATCCATGGTGAGGAAAAGGAAACTGGAGAGAGAGAGAGAGAGAGAGAGAGAAGTGGTGGGCTTCGCTTATTAATATACTAACTGATCCAGAATTTATATTCTCGCAATTGAATAGTTGTAGTTGTAAGAGAAGATATCTACGTAAAATTATTATGTCAACTGAATAATGGGAGGGAAAAATATCTCAATCCAGTCAATTGGTAAGAATTTTCAAAGAGTGTTATATAAAAGAAAGGAAAATGTTGGGGCTCCCTTTTGGGGAGACCCCACCACTCTCACAGTGATGTGGATCAATGATGTGTTTGTATTTTATTTTTTATTTTTTATTTTTTATTTTTTTTCTTTCTTACTTGGACCAATCACAAGTGAGTGGGGGTTGTGGGGATGATATTTTGTGGGGATCTGAATCATTACTGTAAAAGAAATTTGTGCAAAAATTCATAAAAAATGAGATAGCATATGTATGCACTTTTATTCTAAAATAAAAGAGTCATTATTTCTCTAAAAGAACATTTCTCTATTGGAAGGAAAATTGTTATACAAATTTATTTTGTAAATTCATTTTTTAAATTTAATGATATGTAATTGATATTATTAGTTGATAATTAAGAAAAGTATGAGAGAAAGTGTGTTACCTTAATTATCTTAATTGATTGATATATTATTCGAGTTGAAAGTTAAATCTAATTTTTAAATTTGCATAACAATATCTTGCTCAAAATTTATTTATTTAACTTCTCAAATGCCTTATTATATACGTTTGAGTTATCATCCACATACGTATTCAATATCACATATTTGCTCCACCTCTTTGTCACTAGCTCGGCTGCCGACCACCGTCTGTGAGCTTTCTGACGACATCAAACAACATCTAAATGATTTTTCAACCCAGATACCGGCTTGCTAAAGACATTTCCAAGCAACATCTAAATGATTTTTCAACCTGATACCGGCTTGCTAAAGACATTTCCAAGACATCTTTTATTATAGGAATGTTGGCCTTGTTTAGGCCAAGTTTGGGAAGACTAAATGCACTTTTTGACTTTTTATGAAATATGGGTTGGATTTGGGTTGGGTTGGGTTATTTCCAAGCAACATCTAAATGATTTTTCAACCTGATACCGGCTTGCTAAAGACATTTCCAAGCAACATCTAAATGATTTTTCGACTTTGACATTACCGGCTTGCTAAAGACATTTCCAAGACATCTTTTATTATAGGAATCTTGGCCTTGTTTAGTTTAGTTTTGAAAACAATTTTTGGGAGTTCAAAATTTAAAATTTATTTGATTTATTATTTTTAATCACTTTTTTTATTTTATTTCTTTTCTCATTTTCTTATATCTTACATATCAATTAATCATTTTTTCTCTCACATCTATTTATTTAACTACAAAAAAATTACAAATCATCACAAATTACAAAACCACAAAACTATTTTCAACATGAATAATGTTATATGCACAAATTGGTATATTAGGAAGCAAAAAAAAAGCTAGTTTTTAGTTTTTACCCATTTTAGGTCATATCACTTCTCACATTTTTTATTCACAAAAAGACAAAATAGACTAAAAAAGCCAAAAAGTCATCTTTTTACCAACTTCTCAAAGCATCACATTAATTAGTATACTAATGGATGATATGATATAATTTTAGAAGTTTTGGATCTTTATAACTTGTATAATGGTTGGGCTCATAGTTTTGAAGTGATACGTAACATATGTTGGTATACTAATTAGTATATCAATTGATGGGTATAACACTACTGTTTCAAAATATACAACTAAATAAATTTTAAAATTTAAAAAATTCTTTTTAAAAATTTATCTTTCAAAATTGATTTTGAAACCAAATCAAACGACGCAAAATATTTGATAAAAATTGGAAAAAGCTGATGAATTTGTCGAACTCATATAAATTTTGAGAAGTTAAGATTAAGTGGTAGCTTCTAAAAATATTAAATTTATGAAAAAATTTAGAATAGTTAAGATTGTTATTTTCCCTATAAATTTTCACAGGAATTTTATAATTAGAAAATTGAATGATGTAGAAATGAGATAATTCTCTAATGATTAAAAAAAATAGAAGAGAAATAATTTGTTTTAAATATTTTAATACGTTATCACATCATTAAATTTTAAAAATGATTTTATCTCTTAAATTAGAATAACAATACTCTTTTATAATAATTGCACCTATCTTCGGCTTTGTCGTATATTGGGCAAAAATTCTGGCCGCCTATATGATTTGATCTTAAGCACTTTATTCCTAGTCATTTAAACTAATCAATGAGCATTATAACATATAAAAATTTTAGAAATTAAATATTTTGATTTTTAAAAATAAAAATTTTATTACAAATGACATTTAGAAACTAATTTCTATCGTAGTGAGAGTAGTCGCTAAAATATCGTCTTAAAAAGTCAAAAATAAGGTTTTAAGTGACAAAATTTTGAAAATGTTACTAATAAATAGACTTTTAGGGGTAAAATAATTTGGTCTCAAAATGGTTTATTTTTTGAGACAAAATTTGATTTCAAAAAAATAATAATTCATTACTAATGTTTAATTTCCGTTGCTAAAAATATAATAACGACATTTTTTGTAACAAAAATATTTAGTCCGTAAAAAATAATTTTATCCATAAATTTTGATTTCTAAAACTTTAATTTTTTGTAGTAGAGATTCTATATGGTTTTAATAAATTTGTATTTTACCTCCTCGTTACTAATTTCGTCAAAATTGACTGAATTTATACATTACGTGTTAATTTTGAGAGTTGACATTAAAAAACAGAAAATAAAACTTAAATATTGTAATTAAAGGACAAACTTGCCTTTCAGTCTTGGGTTTCACTTTCTCATTTGAGAGTTTCTTCACAATAATTGTGTTACATTTTATTTTTTATTTTTATTATTATAATCATAATTTATCAAATATCATTATAACATCATATATGAATAAAAACAGTAAAAAACTGAATTTTCACTAGACACAAAGACATCAAGTGTCACGCAATCTGGCAAAGGTCACTGTCTCCAAAATTTTTTGATTCTTTATCCCAAATCACTAATAATTATTAGATCATTTGAGAATTTTTATATTTAAAAATTTCAAAATATATTTAATAATTATAAGTAATTCGGAACATGAGAAAAGAAATAATTATTAATAATTATTACAACATGTAAGAATTTTTATATTTAAAAATTTCAAAACATATTTAATAATTATGAGTAATTCGGAACATGATGCAATTTATTAAAAAAAAAAAGCTGCAAGCAAATGACTACGTTCATCATTACTTGTCCTGATTCAAGAAAGAAGCCACTCGGTCCAGCATAGCCAAAGCACTGTCACAAGTCGGGTTAAACAAGTGAAATACATGGTCCTCCCCTGCAGACTCCACAATCTCCACCACCCCTCCCCACCCACTCTTCTCCAATTCCTCCTTGTAGTAACACCCTCTTTCCTTCAGCAAATCTTTCTCACCTACACATACCAACAACTTATTGCAACCCAGGCTCGACAATTTCGGATCCTTAGCCGGGTTGAATAACGGGTCATCACACCCGTCCTCAGCCGACGGGTTCACAAAACCCCAAAATTTGTCGCAAACCGCTTTTCTACCCATGTTAGTTTTTTCACCACCAATCGGGTCCTTCCCTCCAAAATATGGATGTATTAAAACCATCCCAACAAGCTTCACTCCATCCGGTCCATCCGACCCTACCCGAATGCCCATGTTGTGTGCTATGTTAGCACCTGCACTATGCCCTGCAAAGAACATGCGATCAAAATCAACATAATCTTTTAGCCATACCTCACCACCACCCCCAGAGGAGTGAGAAGCAACCCACTTGACAGCGGCCCAAGAATCATCGTAGGCGATTGGGAGAGGGTGCTCGGGGGCTCTTCTGTAATCGACAGAGACCACAACAACTTTGGCTTTAGCCACAAGTGAATTGAGATAGTTATGGTATGTAGAAGAGAAAGCGGTTTCAATGCAAAAGCCACCGGCATGGAAGTAGACAAGAAAAGGAAGCTTGTTGTGATGTGGGTTGTTGTTGGGGAGGTAGAGCCTGGCAGATAAGCCAGTCTCTGGATCGATTACCACGTCTTTGGATTGGACACCGGTGTCGTGATTGGTTGAGGGAGGGACAATATCGGTGCCTCGGAGTCGTTCTACTCTGCCATCTCTGTAAACTCGAATGATGGATGGAAAATCATGAACTATTTCTTCAGCTCCGCTTGAAGCCATGGTAAAGAGTGGAAAAGAAGATGAAGAGAGGGAGAAAAAGTAGTGGCCTTTTTGCTGATCCTACACTAATTGATTTTAGTCATCTCCATTTAATAGTTGTAGTTGTAAGGGGTGGGGATGAGAAGCGTGTGCACATGATTATTATTATTTTTTAAAATTAAAAGTATAAATATATGATTGAATTCAAATTTTAAAAATTAAAATATTTTTTAAATGTAAAAAGATCAATCAATTGAGAGGTTTAAAAACAAAATTAATTGCCCATGTTACTGGCGCAGCAAACAAAAAAATAAAAATAAAAATAAAAATAATGAGATGTATATACCAAGTCTGGCCTTCTCTTTTTTATATTATAGATAGATAATTGAATGATTGAAAAATATGATTATGTGAATTTATCATTATTTTAAATAAATAAAAAATTTATTTGGTTTTGAGTTTTTAAAAATAGCAATGCTTGAATTTTTAGATTTTTTATTTTAATAGCAATGCTTGAATTTTTAGATTTTTTATTTTTTGTGTTTTATTTTCTTTAGTAATTTTTTTTTTCATATTTTAGTAATTAATTTTTAAGATGCACCTTATCTAAATTTACTTAAAAATAAAATATTTGTAAAGAAATTTAATTTTTTTTTTAATAAAGACCAAAAAAATATGAAATTTTACTCTTTCTTTTTTTTTTTTTTTTTTCTTTTTTTTTTTTTTTTGTATTTAATAAGGCTTCGTTTGGGGCATGGGGTTGGGCTAATTTAGCCCATAAAAAGACAAAAGATGTTACAAAGCCAAAATAAGACAATGTCACGTATAAATCATAATTATTTTATTTTTTTCTCTTACAATCATCACATTCAAACCAAATAAATCAAAAATTTATTCCAAATAGAACTCTTTTAGTTAGGCTAAAATAATTAAAAAGTGGGGCTAAAGATGTATATATCCCAAACAAAACCTAAATTTTTTTCATAAATTTTATACTTTTAAGTATATCTAGATCACGTAGATCGTAAAAAAAAAATAAAAAAAATGCACTACAAACCAAAAAATTATTTTTAAAAATTGCAACACCAACCAAAATGAATGCAAATATCAAAGTGATTTTTTCACATCCATTAAATAATATAATGAAAAGAGATCTCAATCGAGTCAATTTGTAGGAATTTTTAAACTTGTATCATGAAGTATGTCGATATGGTTATTTTTGTTTGATTTGTTGAAGCAATATGTCCAAGTATATGCTGATACAACTTGATTCAAAATTTTAGTGCAATGAAAAGGATATGAAATAAATTACCCATCAAAATTTAAAACCAACCCCACAATAATATCATTTTTTTAAGGTGGTGATTTAGAATCACCAAAAACAAAATCACAAATCTTTGTTCAATTTGTATTTACACATGTCGAATCTCCCAAACAATAATACTATAATTGATCATCACATATTATCACCTCCAAATCACACAACTTCAAAAAGATTTGAAAGGAACAGGAGGGAACTATAATTATACAACTAGGTGATAACATATAATGCAGAATTGTAAATTGATTTATTCATTATTTAATCAAATGTTGCAAAAAAACAAGAGAATTACATTAAAAAACGAGTAATACTGTGAATATAGAGACTAAATACAGAATTTGATACAAATATCTTATAAAAAACGAGACTCACATATAGGACGCACTCTTTATAAAATTTTTTGTATCTCACTCTATATTTGATTCTGTGTATAGTTAGACATATTCTTATGAAAAAGATAACTACAGGAGTAAGTTCACAACATTACACAATCACTAGACTTTGCTCTCATTCATGAAGGAAGCCACTCGTTTGAGCATAGCCAAAGCATTGTGACAACTGGGGTTAAACAAATGGAACACATGGCCCTCCCCTTTAGCCTCCACAGCCTCCACCACTCCTCCCCACCCACTCTTCTCCAACGCCTCCTTGTAGTACCAATTCCTATCCCTCATCAAATCTTTCTCAGCTACACAGACCAACACCTTCTTGCAACCCAGGCTCGAAAGTTTTGGATCCTTAGCGGGGTTGAATAAAGGGTCATCGGACCCACTCGTCGTCGGGTTGACAAAGACCCAGAATTTGTCAGCAACCGATTTTCCAGCCAAGTTAGCTTCTTCACCACCAATCAAGTCCTTCCCACCAAAATACGGGTGGATTAAAACCATCCCAGCAAGCTTAGCTCCATCCAGTCCTTCCGAACCGACCCTCATGCCCATGTTGTGTACTATGTTACCACCTGCGCTATCTCCTGCAAAGAACACACGATCAAAATCAACATACTCCTTTAGCCATACCTCTCCACCATTAGCAGTGGAGTCAACCCACTTGACAGCGGCCCAAGAATCTTCGTACGGGATTGGAAGAAGGTGCTCAGGGGCTCTTCTGTAATCAACAGAGACGACAACGACGTTGGCTTCGGCCACAAGTGAAATGAGGTAGTTATGGTATGTGGGAGAGAAGGCAGTTTCGATGGCGAAGCCTCCACCATGGAAGTAGAGTAGAATAGGAAACTTATTGTGATCTGGTTTGTTGGGAATGTAGAGCCTGGCAGATAAACCAGTCTCTGGATGGATTACGACGTCTTTGGATTGGACACCGGTGTCGGGATTGGTTGAGGGAGGGACAGTATCGGTGCCTTTGAGTCGTTCTACTCTGCCATCTTTGTAAACTCGAATGAAGGATGGAAAGTCGTGTACTATTTCTTCTGCTGGGGTTGAAGCCATCGTGGAGAAAAAGAAACTGAAGAGAAAGAAAGGGAAAAGTGGTGGGCATTGCTTACACTAATTGATCCAGAATTTATATGCTCTCCGTCGAATAGTTGTAGTTGTAGTTGTAAGAGAAATATTCTGTCCGTTTCAAAATAGTAGTCTGTTTTAAAAAGATTAATTTTTTAATAATATAATTATTACACTTTAAAAAAATTAATTTTTAAAAATTATCGTTTGATAATACATTTTTTAAAAAATATCAATTGTCATAATTATATTTTTTTGTATTGTTAATGAATTTAAAAAAAAGATAAAATAAAAAATTTATACTATTTTAATCCTTAATTTTTAAAAATAAATTAATATTTTAAGATAATAAAAAATAAAATAAATAATTAATATTTTAGGACGGAAAAAAGTAAATAATTCAATGCAATGGTTGTGAAATTATTATGTCAACTTAATACAACCACAACAATAAAAGAAATTTTGAGACAGTAGTGTTATATAAAAGAAATTTGTACAAAAAAATTCATACATAATAAGATGACGGATATGTGTGCGCAGGATATGTGTGCGCAGGGGCAGAGCTAAAGAAGGTCCAAGGGTCACGTGTTCCTCCTTAATTTTGATTTTTTTATTTTATTTTTGTTTTGTGATTATATATAATTTTTTTTTCTTAACATGTTTTTTGGCTAAGAATTTATTGTATTGTTCACAATAAGTAGTTATTTGATATTTTGGAAACACTATGTGGTATTGTTTATGTAAGAGTCTAAACCAATAGTATAATGAGAAATCGTATAGATTGAATATAATTAACTCATTATTTTCAGATAATTAACAAACTACATAGTGTGATTTGTGATTTCTCACGCTTTGAGTATCACATAGGCAACGCCATGTGATACTCTAAGACTATTTAATAATTTTTATTCAAAATACATTATTTATAAGCAATATCATCTCTTTAATATTTTTTGACAAAAAAAAATTAAATAGATTTTATAATAATTTGTGCTATAAATAATGTGTTTTTATTTTTTAAAATTAGAAATTTTTATCCATAATTTGTTTGCTAAAATTACAAACGTACATTACAATCCCGTACCGAGCTATCGCACACTATTATAGAATTTTGATTTGTTCTTATTAATAATGATTTTTAATTTTTTACACTTAAATTTAGCTCATAAAATTATTGTTATCTTAATGTTGATCATGATTTTTTTTTTAAATAAAAAATTGTAATTAATAAGTACCACTTCTAACTTAATTTTCTGATTCCGCCACTGTGTGTGCGTGTTTATTTTAAGACAAACGGGTCATTATTTGTTATAAAAAAAAATTAGAAAACTTATATCTTTAAAATTTGTCAATTTGTTCAAATATCATTTTTTCTTTCAAATGTCTCACTATTTTTACGTGTGTCACCTATATGTTCAATATCACCTATCTATCGCAGCTCACTGTCACCAGCCACCGATGGCCACCAACATCTTTCTAAGGACTTACTTGGCCAATTTTTTGATGACTTTTTCAACGATTTTTCCAGTGCCAACGACTTTTTCAATGCGTGTTATTCTCACCACATAAGATTAAACATTGGACCTAATGCCTAATATACCCCCAACTTGAATTTATCAATAATTTTTCCTTTTTTATATGAATTTCCAGTTACAAATCATTTTCCATTTTTGACCTTTTATTATAGAATCTGTCAGATTACTTGACAGGATTTGGTTGTTTTTGTTTCATTTAAGCAATATGTCCAAGTATATGCGAATATAACTTGAGACGATTTGGTTGTTTTTGTTTCATTTGTTTTAAGCATTATGTCCAAGTATATTTGGTTGTTTTCGTTTCATATGTCCAATTATATGCTAATACAACTTGATTTAAAATTTTAGTGAAAAGGATATAAAATAAAATAACCACCAAAATTTGAGGCAACTTCAGAATAATGTAAATTTAGGTAGTGGAATATGTCATTGTCCCAATGGACAGCTATATACATCACTGGGCGAATTGTCCTGTCCCAAGAAAAATTACAATCAAATAATTCTCAAAAATTGTAAAAGTAAAAAAAAAAAAAAAAAAAAAACATTCTCTAAATAAAGAGCATTGTTATTCAATACCAAAAAATAGATCCAATTTTTAAACCTATTGATATAACAATCAATTTGGATATTAAGGATAAATTACCAATAGCCCCTATTTTTTGTATTTATTATCCATTAAATTCTATTGATAAATTTATATTGTTATGAATAAATTTATAGTGATAAATTTATCAATAAGAGTTTGTAAGTGAATAAGTCTAGTTAATAAAACTGATTGGTAAGTGTCCCAAATATTAAAGATAACGCATTCTCTCATATCTTTTCTAATTATTAACCAATTATATCACTTACACATCATTGGATCTATAAAATGAGTCTATAATAAATTTATATTGTTATGAATAAATTTATAGTGATAATATTTATCAATAAGAGTTTGTAAGTGAATAAGTCTAGTTAATAAAACTGATTGGTAAGTGTCCCAAATATTAAAGATAACGCATTCTCTCATATCTTTTCTAATTACTAACCAATTATATCACTTACACATCATTGGATTTATAAAATGAATCTATAAAATAAACTTATATATTATTTTTCATAAATAAATAATAAAAAAACAATTATTCAGCAAATTTTCCACAGCGAAACTCACACCAATATTATTGGCCAACAGTCAGGTTCATGCAATAAAATCAATGTTTCCATCAACAATCATAACAAAGATTTTGTAAGAAGCAACAAAACTATTTATAATCACAAAATTAATTTCAAATTATATTTTTCCCAAATTGAAAATCATAAACCATAAGTTTACATAAATAAAACTTATCCTAAATAGAAATAATACCTATTAAAATTCATATAAAATTTTCACCAGTGAAATTCCTATTTGATTTATTGGAATGAAATGGAATGATCATTCCTTAGTTTCAATTACAGAATGACCATTTCATTTACAATAGTGAATAAATTTATAAGAATAAATATTTTGATAAAATGACTATTATATTCCACTTCATTCTAACGAAACAAACATAATTAAATCCTTCCCAACACGTGAGAGTAGGAATCTTCTGAAGAAATTTGTTTTGTTATACCAAACGTGAAAGAGAGGGGAGAGTTTCTAACTTTGTAAAAAGAAATAACGTAACGGATGTGGTCTACAAAGAAACGAGAGAGGGAGTTTCTAACTTTGTAAAAAGAAAAAAAATGTAATGAATGTGGTCTACTGTGCTCTTATTTTTTTGGAATTGAGAGTGCTGTTTGAATCCGTGAGATTTATCGGTTTAGTTTTGATAATTTTAATTAATTATTTTGAAAGATTTTTCAGATATATTATGCACACAAAAATTTAGATCAACAAGATAACCATAACCTATTTGATTCATTAAGTTTATCATAAATAAATAAATAAAAAATGATAGTCAATTTTTAACAACACACTTGTCATTCATTTTTTAGATACAAATAATATAAATTAAATAAGTTACGATTATCACATCGACCTAATATCCTTTTGAATGAAATATAAGAAAAAAACTACAAAATAAATTATTAAATAATTAAAGTAACAACATAGGTTCAAAATAATACCCTCCAATCCAAGTGGTTGTACTGGATTGTAGCCCAATCCTTATTTTTTATTTGTTGGGTAAATTGGTTATTAGCCCCGTTTGGTGTAAATGTTAAAACAGATTATATATTATAGCTTAATAGATTGTGGGAGCCAGAAAAATATCTTAAACAAATATCAACTATTCTCTATAAAATGAGGAGACCCCATACACAAGAGGTAGGCCTTTCTTCCCCACACTCCACACACAACACTTTTTACTATTCCTAATCTATACTCTTCATTTATGGATTCTAACTTTATCATCATAGTGTCTCCGACCGACAACCCCCCTTAGTTGGCGCCGACTATGTTCATCCTTACAGATCTACAGGAGCCAAGCTCATCTCTTCGTTGGATCTCATTAACAATCCATGTAAGAGGATTTTTTGGGTCTCATAATTGGCGCTGTCTGTGGGAAATGTTTGAGAATTTAATGAGGAGCAGAGCAAACACCACTCTTAAGGAGCTCGGACCAGTATACTATCTATAGCTGGGTCTTTATCTTCTCCTTTTTTGATTATGTTTCTAAATATCAGTATATCGATGTATGTATGTATATGTCTCTATCTTTATGATCACAGATTTGAAAATATTAATTTTGGTTAGGAAAGTTGAAAGCATAAGATGAAGGTAATGGATTTACAATTGAGTCTAGATTTTTTCTCTCTAAAAATGAGTTTCACTTTTATTTGTAAGAACATCATTTCGGCCTTAAAAAAAGGGCTACCTGGCCAAACCCACCCTGGGACTTTATTTATTAACTTATTGCCTCACAAAAGTTGATTCTTAAAATATATATACATGTGCATCTGGAAGATCTTGTTCCTCTTCGGACTTCTACACAACAAATGGGTACATTGGAAGATCTATGGCTCTAAGCAAGCTTTGTACACAATTTCCTCGGCTTCTTAGATCCTTCGTTGTTGACACAAATTAATCAGCAAACAATCAATCGCCGAGTTCCAACCCCATCAACAACACTTCAACAACTCCCACCCAAACCCATCATTCTTCCTAGTTTGTTACCCAAGCAAATCACATAGCAAGAACAATCGAAGACAACAAGGATGAATCGGCTTTAAGAGCTTGGCAAACAGCCTAGACGACGACGAAGCCAATACTATATCTGTGTAATAACAAACAGTGCATGGTCAAAACAATTCCGAGCTTGATTTCGCTATCTCCAACTTCAGTGTCGTCTTCGGTTTCAGTTTTGGCTCCGACTATTTGTCCAAAACATACCTCAAGATTCAGCTATCACAATTACACCTATTCGGCAATCACCAACAAACCAACTTACATCCATAAGGCCCAACGACGACTCTACAATTCGGTAACATCCTTATTTATTATTCTGCGAACATCATTACTTGGCAGTACCACAACTTCTAGAAGATTGCTCGACAAAGCTACGAAGCTGCTCGACAGTGCCATACTTCACACAAGGCTACTCGGCATCTCTTTCA